CACCACCACCGTACCACTAGTGCCCGACCAACATTATCAGATCATCATTGCCCACCCCCTTCATTGAGCCGTCGTCGTCACTGGACCACCATTGTACAACCACTGCTATCGACCATCCTCCACCATCGAACCACCATTGTGTGGCCACTGTCTCATGACAATAACCCACCTGAACCACAGTTGCCAAACCATCATCGTATGACCGCCACTACCGCCGGACCATCGCAATTCGACCACCGCAGTAGTCACCATCGTTGCTTGGCCACTACCTTTTGACTGTCGTTGTTAGCATAACACTGTTGCCCAATCACTTCCGCCGCCAGGTCAGCACCACCCAACCATCACCGTCAAGCTTCCATAACTCAACTACAGTTGCCCCTACCCGACCACAAATATCAAGCAATGTCAAGCTTCCATAACAACTCAACAGTTGCCCCTACCCGACCACAAATATCAAGCAATCATTATGACAATCCACTTTTCTCTGGCCATCACCTTCTTCGGATCACTGATGCTTGATTGCTGTAGTTGAGTTGCTGTCACCATCGGACCACCGTTGCTGCCGCCAGACAATCGCTACCCAACCACCACCGTTGAGCCACCTCCATCGCTTGTCCATCATTTGCCCATCCACTGTCGTCAGGTATCTGTCGCCTCCGGATCGCCGTTGTCTGATCACCATAGTTGAACAGCCAAATCACCTTCATCTCGTCGTTGCCACTGTCAAATCATTGTTCCTCGGTCACCACTATCGAGTCACTTCCATCTTTAGACAACTGTCATTGTCGGACCAAAGTTGCTGCCGCCAGATCACCGCCACCAAGTTTCCATCATTTTTAGTCCACCATTTCCTAGACACTGCCATTTGGTAGCTGTCGTCTCTAAACCGCTATTGTTTAACCACCACTGTGACTGGCTGCGTCACCTAGTCATCACAACCATTGGATTACAGTTGTCCGATCGCCACCGTCAAGTTTTTGCCATCCCTGTCGAACCACCACTGCCAGTCCACCACAAACAAGTCATCGTCATCATCGAACCACCATTGCCTGACCTCTGTCATCTGCCCACTAAACCACGGCTTGCGATCACGATTGTTGAGCTGCAATACCATCACCATTTGGTTGTTGCTACTGTTGAATCACCGCTGCTCGACCCTTGTCGTTGAGTCGTCGTCACTATCAGACCACTGTCACCGCAATGGGCATTCTCCGCCGTTGAGCCACCGTCGACTGACTTCCAATGTTGTTGCCTTCATACCATATTTATCGTCGTGGGACCAACCTGCATCTCCATCATGCCGCCGCCGAACCACTGTTGTCCGACCACCACCTTCATCTTCACCAGGCCATCGTCATCAGGTTGTCGCTGCCAATGCCGCTGACATTAAATTTTCCAGCATAAGACATTTATCGTCGGCTTTTCTTCACAACAGCCGAGTCACAACCACCTCTTTAGTATTTTCTGCCACATTCTTAATGAAATTTACGTCTCACTCTTGTAATGTTGCTTTCGCTTTATTCAAGGATCGTCAAAGCTTTGTAATGTACATCGACAAAATATAATCATTTCAATCAGACGAAACTCCATGATTTTTGCCTCTTTGGGATTCTCATGTAAAAACTCATATTTTCTTTTATGTCTATTTATTTTTATATGTATAAGCGTCTGATCTTTGCACAACACTACAATATTAATACTTCAATGTATCACCTGAATTTATGAGCACAAAGCAATTATGATAAAATTGGAATACAAATTTATGCTGAAATGCAATTAAATAAAGTTTTTAAAACTATTTCACTAATTTATCCTTTTTGTACTTTTTTAAGTATGTTTTTATCTAATTTTAGTTTTTTTATATAGTTTTAAGCAAATGAAAAATATTATGTGATATACGGCCTATAATGTGATTCACATTTTGTCACTGTACATGACGTGATATGATTCGTATGTCCATCCCAAATGATAAACTTAATATTTTCTCTAATCAAAGAGCCCTAAGCGCTAGTCAAACGCCTTGGGTCTGTTTGGAGCAGCTGTTGATTATTTATATTTTTGCTAATAAGCAGATTATTCTAATAATTTGATAATCTGCAGATTACAATAATAAGCTGACTTGTTGTTTGGGGCAGCTTATTTAAAATAGTTTACTGACAGCTGTTATTAGATAAATAACTATTCTGCTTCTGTTTGGTTAAGTTGTTTGCAACAGAAATAAAATGAACACAAAAATATATAATACAGAAAAAACTTTTTTTTAACACTTTTGCAATAAATTGTGATATACAATAAAAAAAAACTTTAACACTTTTGCAATAAATTGTGATATACAATAACTATAATCTAACAAGAACCACATAATTGTGACTTACAAGTCTTTAAGATATACTGATTTGATGGGAATTAGAACCATATGATTATTCCAAACCGTCCTGCTACATACCCATGAGAAAAACCTGATTCAAAGCTAAAATCAGGCTTCCAAGCTTCATAAACAAGATTTATTAAAGGCAATCATGGTAAAAAAAAACCAAAATCACCATCAAGCATTAAAAACGCAGCATCCCCATTAACAAACATAAAAGACAACTGCACAAAACATTATCTTATCCTCTTGCACAGTAGAAACACACAAGTTAAATGACCATCAATCAACTTTCAGATGACTCATATGAAGCATAAATCACAAATTTCTGAATCCCAAGAAAAAAAGAGACGATCATACCGATCAAACACACCTAAAAGTCTCCGTAGATCTGGAAATTAGAAAAATCCAAGAAACATTTGTATTCTTGAGCTCGTCCTACTCTGCCCTCCGTTGCCAAGAGAAAAAGACGAAAACAAAGAAGAAGAGCTCGGAAGCCAGCAACGGAGGGCGCGGGAAGGATAAACCCCTAATCGCAAAAATTATACGCGGGACGCGGGAGGAGTCGGGCTTGCGAAGTTACGAAGAGAATAGCGATATTAAACCGCCGCGATATCAAAAATTTACTCCCAATGCTATATTCAAACGGGATGGCGACGTTTACAAAACGCCGCCACACTCTATAAGCTGCCTCAAACGGGCCCTAATTCAAAGGACCCTATAAGACAACTTATTTGGTGCGGTCGCGTTTTGAAAATACACCTGGTATGTTTGGATAAACTGAGTTTTGGCAGCTTATATTTTTCAAAATACAGAAAACAACGTTTTCATACCGCACCTATCTAGGTGCGATGAGAGCTTATTGACAATGGTCTTACTTTTCAAAAATAATAAAAATTTCAAATAGTCACCGCACCTAGCTTATCAGCAGATTATTTTTAATCAGCTTATCAGCAGATTATTCAATAAGCTACAACTGCCCAACGATCGATTATGTCGAGTCTTTGTCCATAGGAGTAATTGTGAAATTCATACCTGCATTAAAATATGAGCCAGTAAAAATAAAAATAGCTAACATTTAACAAGCCAACACCTGTTATTTGTTTTATTAGCAGCCTACAAATAGATAACAAAAGAGAAAGCAAGCTCTAGAATGCAACAGAGTGAGCCCTCAATTGTCCAAATCACACATTACGGTTAGTATTTACAAAAGCGACAAAACAACAACAAAAATAACAGTAATATAAGTTTTTATTCTCATAAGATTCATGTCATGCTTTTCTGATAAATTTTATGTTGGTTGTCGAATAACTAACGTAACCCTTCACTTTTCACATATGAGACTTGAGACCTTACAATAAAAATATTATAAAAGAGACATAAAAAAAACTATTAATTATCAAAAACAAAATTCTCTTTTGCATTTATAATCTTACTTGGATCATACTGTCATTAGAACTTCATATAAACACATTTAGAATCATTTCATCAAATCAAATATAAAAAAATTTAATATATCACATTTCTTATGTTAGAAAAACCAAAATGAAACCTAACACCTCTTTAAATTAAAATTTTTGTGTTGTGTCTTTTCTTCTCTTGCTCTATCTTTTTTATAATGGAGATCTGGATTTAATAAATTTAATTGTGAGATGGATTTAAGAATTTCTTCCAAGTGTAATGTGGGACTTCGTGCCCGTTTGGGGCAGCTTATAAGTGCGGGCGGCGTTTTCAGCCGCCGTACCGTTTGGTTCGCGGGGTTCGGGGCGCGTTTCGGCAGCTTATCCGAAACCGCGTTTGAGTTTTTATATGTACCGCGGGTCGACCCCTGCGGCCGGCTCCAGGGCCGCGTTTCAGGATAAACTGTTTATCCTGAAACGCATATTCATCTCTGGCTCATTGAAGACCGAATTTATTGAATTTGATAAATTTTATTTAACATAAACTCTAAATATAGACACAACAATTATTGAAAATAATATTTAAACCTCCCTCAAAATTTTCATTCAAAGTTTTCATTAATTAATAAAGTTATGAGAGAATTTAAATATTTTATTTTTTATTAGTCAACGAAAAGAGAAACTTTTTACTCTGACTCATTGAAGACCGAATTTATTGAATATGATAAATTTTATTTAACATAAACTCTAAATATAGCCAAACACAAACTAAAATCACTTTAAATTATAAAAAAGATATAATTAATTACTTATATGTGTTGTTTGTATTTAAATAAATAAAATAATTAGATCAAAATTATCATTGTACCTTAATTTTTTATTTAAATAAATAAAATCATTTTAATTGCAATTTTGACCTTTTCTTTATATCGGAATTTCATCCTTAATTATATAAATAATTCACGTTCCGTCGCGGGCGGAGCGCGTGGTATTTTTATCGCGGGGTGGATTTGTTGACCTTCTTCCCAGTTGAGGCCGCCCCGTTATCGCGTTACTCTCTTGGTCTCCCCGCCGGCCAAAGTGACCGTTTCTCTCCTTCTTCCTTCTTGCTTTTCTTCCTTCTCTCAGCCTCTAGATGAGATAGACATAGAGAGAGGCAAAGATCGGTTGTAGTTTGGAGTATAGAATAGTGAGTAGCGTTCTCTACTCTTCCGAAGAACAAGGAGCAGTGCATCAGATATTGTGCTCGACCTTTGAGTGCCCATCTTTCTACAGAAACGATGATGAACAGTACGAGCGCTTCTCCGGCAGAGCCGACGATCTCTGTTTCTGGGGATGGGACGGACGCCAGGAGGAATTCCAAGAGACCTAAATGTATGTTTGAGCCATAAAGGGTCCAATTTGGTTGACTTTCGCATAATTAATATCTCTTGTTCGCTGCTTCTTTTTACCTTAGTCCTTTGATTGCTTAGGCGCGAGTTAAATTTCTGATTTCTTTGTTAGAAGTAGTGATTTCCACTTTTTTTAGGTCTCTCGACATCTAGGTTTTTTGGTTTTTTTCTTTTACATCTTGATCGGGCTATTTCCTCAAATTGGGATGATAAATTGGATTTCTTTTTATTTTTTAGATTTGAATTTGTTTCAGGTTTTGATTTTAGATTCTAGGTATGCACGGCAGGAGCGGAGCTTCCGGCGTTCGAGCCGATTCCTACACTCGGTAGTTGTGTTCCCAGTTTATAGTATTTGCGATTTACGGCTCATTTGGCTGTTTTGGATTGAAAACATATTTTGGAAAGTAATGATTTTATTTTTACTCATTTTCTTTGTGAAATTGAAATCATTGTATTTGGGGGTTTGAGAGAATTTATGGTGCTCTTAGTCAACGTTGATTTCTAAGCTCTAGCTGCACCCAGCCAAATGATGAATCAAGCAAATTTCATCTCTTTTATAAGTTTGTTTTCTAACTTCAAGCTGCCTGATGATGAATCAATGATCGACTTCTTATAGATAGAAGGATCTAATTTTTTGTACCTGGCTTAATTTGATTTCTTACAGTTAGGTAGGCTGATTTCTCACGAACAGTTTAAAATTATGTGATTTTTTATTTGGAAGATTTCCATATATACCGCATAATTCGTATGTATTTACATATCAAAACCTTAATTTTAATTATTACATTTAGATGCATTTCACTTTTTAGAAGTTAGTTTTGATATGAATGACCTGATTGTTCTAAATGAATAAATTAAAGTTTAAGTTTTAGATATGTAATACATAGGAATTGTGTTTTATGTATGTAAATAGCCCCCCCTTTTTTTTCTAAAGAAGATTTCTTCAACTTTTATGGTTTTTTGTTCTCATTTGAATAATATTGGATTTGTTATGTTGGAAGAATATATTGGATTTATGATCATCTTATACAAATGATTATAATTAGGCCACGCTTGATCTTCATTGATGCATTTATCTGATGTGTATATTTGTTTTTGTTATCAGATTCAAGGTTTACACAACAAGAGCTTCCAGCTTGCAAGCCAATTCTCACTCCTCAGTGGGTATGCTTCCATATTTACAGTATTTGCAGTTTTGGAAGAAATGTTGAATTTTATTTAACAGGGAGATTCCATCATCTTATGTAGGTGATCTCTATTTTCACATTGGTTGGCATAATCTTCGTCCCCATTGGTGTCGCCGCCTTGCTTGCATCAAATGATGTAATGTGTCATTTTTATTATTAATCCTTCCACTAATTTTACTTTTTTGCACTGTTAAATTTATATCTTGACATAATTTTCTTTTCCTAGGTTGTTGAAATTGTAGATCGATATGAAACTGAATGCATTCCGAAGAACATTAGCGATAAGATTGGATACATTCAAAATCCAGCAATTAGTAAAAAATGTACCCGGGTACTAAAGGTTAGTTCTGCAAACTGGTTGTTACATTTATATGCAAAACATGCTTTCTGATTTTGTTTCAAAACTGGAATTATGAACAAATTTTGTTTATTGTTGATGTTTTACGAAATGGACAATCACTATGGCATGCTTGAGCTCCTTTAAAGTAGGCTTTGTTTACTCCATGTTTTTATGAGTATTATTTTTCATCAAAATTGGCTATCTTCTTATTGCTAGTAGGATTTCTAGCTGCATCTTAACTTGCTTTTGATAAGAGCCAACCAAAGATTTCACTAAACAGTATGAATAATATGAAGAACTTATTGGTTGCAGGTACCCAAGGATATGGATAAACCTGTTTATGTGTACTATCAGCTCGACAACTTCTATCAAAACCATAGGAGGTATGTCAATATCTTTTTTTTTTTTTTAATTTAACTTATGGGGAACTCTTATTTATTACATATGGTTGCATAAATATAGAGAGAGTCATCTTTGATGGTTTAGTCACATTAAACGTTGACCATCTGATTATTCGGTTAGGAGATTAGAGATTTTAGATTCAACTTATGTTAAAAAAGGCTGAGGTAGACCTAAAAAGACTTGGCCATATTGTAAAAAAAAAAAATAATATTAATTTATTAGAATTAAATGAAAGTATGACACTCAGTAAGACACAATAAGGAAAAATGATTCATGTGGCTGACCCCACTCTGTCATAAAGGCTTGTTGTTGTTGTCGGTTACATAAATATAGAAGTAATTAGTAGTTAGTGATGTTCTCTTTCACTTGTCTGATTTAATGTATTTGGATACATGTGTTAAACCAATCATGTTAAACACGGTTAATGTGTCAAAATAATTCTCTTACTATTTATATTGGGTCGTTTTAGTACCGAAATCTTTAAAAGTGTCAAATTAGTTCCTAGATTCTTTTAATAAGGGTTAAAATAGACTCCAGGGAGAAAGAGTCCAAGAACTAAGTTGATACTTTTATAGACTCTAGGACTAAAATAGCTTCTTACGAAGTGTCATGGGACTATTTTGGCAGTCTTCTGTTTTGAAAACCTTAACTTTTAATTTCGTTTATTTTTTGATCTCCTTCCGTGGAGCACCTCACCGATACAGATAGATCCATTACTTATGTCGAACAATCCTTTTCTTTACTTAATAGTAACTAAATTTCAGGTATGTCAAGAGCCGAAATGATCAACAATTGAGAGATAAGAGTAAAGCTAATGAGACTAGTGGCTGCGACCCAGAAAAAACTACGGCGAACGGAATGCCTATTGTCCCTTGTGGTCTTATCGCATGGAGTTTATTCAATGACACATACAACTTCACCCATAGCAATGGTGAAACATTGACGGTTAACAAGAAGGATATTTCATGGAAGAGCGACAGAAACCACAAATTTGGATCCGATGTCTTTCCCAAAAACTTTCAGAATGGAACCCTAAAAGGTGGCAAAACACTGGATCCTACAGTACCCGTAAGCATTTCTTACTTGCTTATGAACCAGGTAGCATTTTCTTGCATAAGGCTGATCATATTTCTGCCGTTGTGATATTTACAGCTGAGCAAACAGGAGGATCTTATTGTTTGGATGCGAACGGCAGCCCTGCCGACGTTTAGGAAGTTGTATGGGAGGATAGAGGTGGATCTTAAAGAGAACGATACGATTACGGTGGAATTGGAGAATAACTACAACACCTATAGTTTTGGTGGTAAGAAGAAGTTGGTTCTTTCGACCACAAGCTGGCTTGGTGGAAAAAATGACTTCCTTGGCATTGCGTATATTTCGATAGGAGGAGTGTGCTTTTTTCTTGCGACGCTTTTCACCATCGTGTATTTGGTAAAACCTAGGTGAGTAATGTTATCAATATTTTGTTTTACATATAGGCATACTTGCATAGTTGCACACACATTAGTAAGGGCGTCGATATTTGTTTTTTATTTTGTTATTTATATGTTTTTACTTGAAATAAAATATGTTTGGTCGGTAATTATTTTAGAAAAAAATTTGAAACAAATTTTAGATGTTTTGAGTGTTTCTAAAATAAAATATAAAAACTTGCAAAAAATAACACTAAACAAACTTATTTTTAAAATAAAAGCAAAAACAGAAAGAAAAAAAAGAAGTGATCGCGAAAAAGGAATGATTCCCGAGTTCTTAATGGACATTATCAGAGGCTAAAATTTTGAAATGCTGTAAGCATCTTTATATATTGGTCTTTCTTCAAAAGGTTTTGGTCCATCTCAGATCACATTCATTTATTTTAAACTTTTTGGAGTCCAATATTTTCTTTTTTTTTAGTGAAAAAAAAAGAAAAAAAAGAGAGTTGAGTGTTGCTTAGATGAGAATGCTTAGGTGGATGCGTGGCTTGACACTTAAACACAATGTGAAACCAATGTTTTCCTTGAAAGGGTTGGTGCAGTCATCTTAGATGGTTTGGTCACATTAAGCGTCAACCATTTGATGATCTTGTTAGGAGGGTAGATATCGTGTTAGGAGGGTGGATATCGTGGGTTCGATTTATGTTAAGAAAGGTATAGGTAGACCTAAAAAGACTTTGGGCTTATTGTATAATTGTTAGGAGGGTAGATATCGTGGGTTCGATTTATGTTAAGAAAGGTAGAGGTAGACCTAAAAAGACTTTGGGCTTATTGTATAAAAAATAATCTTAATTTATTAGTGTTAAATGAAAATATGACACTCAATAGAACACAACGGAGAAAAAAGGATTCATGTAGGTAACCCCACTTATTGGGATAAAGACTTTTTGTTGTCGTTGTTGTACTGCAAAATGCTTCTGATATTTTTTTTTTTTTTTGAGTTTTTTCTTTGGGGTTTGGGCGTTACATATTTTATTATTCGCCATGTCCATAAAATCTTCCAATTGATTACATACCAGATTTTTCGATCATTTCTGAAAAGAGAGCTTCCATTTCTACATTTGAAGTCAACCTGAACCACATATTCATGTTGTTGAATTGAATGTTTAATTTTATATTTTTTCCCCTCATTTTCTCTGCTATTGTTTTATCAGGAAACTCGGTGATCCTTCATACTTGTCATGGAACAGCAATCGCTTAATGCAGTAGCTGCTCTGAAGTCCAGCGAAGGCTCGGTAATGGCTGTACTTCTTGTTTATTCATTTTAGTAACTGCGTTGTATTATGTTAGTATAAACCTATGAAGATTCAGACTCAGTCAGACAATGTCATGAATGTGTAATTAGTTGAAAATTTCTTGTAATTTGACTCTTCTTTAGCTCAAATATACCTTTATTTCCATTAATTTGTGACTGCAAACTTGGTTGGATTTACCTTTGGTGTCTCAAAAGCAATTATCAAAATCATAAATTTTAGCACAATTGTATTGCCTTGAACTTTTTGTTTTTAAAATAATCCATCTCATTTTGAGCCCCCAATATTTCATCGTTCTAACAAGTGGGCAGTGAAGTTGTGATTTGTGGCTCTTGTGAATTTCTTTTTGAGAAAATTACAAACACAACATTCAAAACATTGCTATTTACAAAAACAAATATGTAAGTGATTTTTTTGAACTATCGAACAGATGCATTTATGACTGCCATGATCACACCATTGACAACTTGATAAATGAAATTTTGGGTTTGGTTTTTATTGTGAATTTTGATATTTGTGTTTGAATATTGAATAATGGGCGAAAAATGGCGCCGGATTTATAAATAGCAATGTTTTGAGGGCTATGTTTGTAATTTTCACTTTGTTTTTATCATGTTTGAACAAGGTTCAATAGCGTTTGGTGAATCAGAGTAATATATGGATCACATATCTATGTAAATGTTTGGAGTTGGGTTGGATGATTTTTCGTAAATTAGGTGAGTTTTGTACAATGTTTAGAGAATTGGACCGGACCGATCAGTTCAACTGTGAATGTCTGAAATATATAATAGACAGTTTTTGTCGTCAAACCATTGAGAACCAATCGAACCATCGAGAACCAATCGAACCAAGTGGTCATCCTGTAAATCGAAAAACCGATTCAATTTTTTGAAAAATGTAAATATTATTTTATTTTATTTCTTCTGTCATTTTAATGGTTACAACTCTAATGCACTCCCAATGCAGAAAGCAAAGACAATTTATAGGGTTATTAATATTATCATTGTTTTTTAGAAAATAAGCACAAGCTATACATCATTAATTTTATAGCTTGGGCTTATTTCCCAATTTTCAATAATTTCAAATGTAAGAAATAATTTATTACTTGAGAAATGTTTTAGGAAATTTATGAAATTTAAAATAATATTGATAAAGTGTTCAATTTAAAATATAATGATGATGCATAAGAAAAAAATATATAATATTTAAGAATAATGATTATGTTTACTCAACTTATATTCATAAACTCATTAATAAATCAAATTACCGGAATATAATTCACAATAAAACTTGTCATCAAAAGCCAGAGATGCATGCGGTGTCCGATCTCTACCGTCGATCGTGCAATCAAAAAAAAAAAAAAAGAGGAAGTTTAAAGTGAGGTTCACTGAAATACATCTTTGCGGTGATCGACGGTGAAGATCAGACACCACATACATCTCTGCATGCGATGTTCGTATGGAATAATGTTTCCTCCTTCACACCATGAGTTTACGGAACACCACATATATCTCTGCATGCGGTGTCCGTATGAAATAATGTTTCCTCCTTCACACCATGAGTTTACGGAGAAATATTCTTGCATCAACTTTCTTCTTAAAGCTAGAGTTATTAAGCAAGCAACTGCTGGTCATGAGGTAATGGAAACAATCTTTGGTTAGAATTAAACAAAAAGTTTTTAAGGTTTGAAGGAAACTCAATTGCTACAAAATTCTTTGCATAAATTTAAAGAGTATTTACATACATACCGCCTAGTTCCTATGCATTCATATATCTGAACTTTATTATTTTGTAAGGAATTCTTTGTGAGGAGTCAAAGAATGCTTTGAGATGATGACAAACATTTGGAGATCGATGACCCCTCTAACATATTACACTCACAAAACTCTCCAAAGTAAATTCAAAAGTAGAAAAACATAGTTTAGATTTATCTCTCTTGGTTTTTCCAAATCTTTATGAGTTAGCTATCATTATTAACAAATACATTAATAGCCTTCGGCATTAATTCATCTTCCATAATTATATTCTTATAATCATTAGTGATAACTAAAAATTTAAATTGATGTGTAATATTATTTTATATTTTTCCATCATTATAATGTAGTATGATTTGTTTCATTTAAGAATGATTCATGATGGTCTTCTTCATATAATATGATTCATAGATGGATCTAATTTTAGGCAAATACTCCAATTTAATATATTTGCTATGGTTTGAGATTCATGCACTATACGAAAAATTGCTTTTTCAGACGAACAATTTCTGTCGGTTATGATTTGAAAAAAATGTCATTTTTAATATTTCCGACGGTTCTTGGCTCTCAGTTAAAAAGATTGTTGGTAATTTCAAAGCCTACTGAAATACCGACAGTGTAAACTTACTGACGCATTACTAACGATTTAATGTAGTTGTTTTTTAGATAAATTAATATCGTTAGTGTTCATTGGCAAAGGTTAAACTGTCGAAAAAATGTTGCACCCATCAGTTTCGTATGATGCAACATTTTGTTGTTTTTTTTTGTCGGAAAGACATCAGTTATTAAAATTGATGGTTAAACAGTCGGAAAAGGCTATCACTTGTTGGTTTTTTGTGATGCACTTAAGCCGTCGGTTAGGTGTCGGTGAAACATCGGTAAATAAGTCCATCGGTTTTGGCTACGGATATGTCAAAAGTTGTTGTAAAACTGATGATAAGCCGTCGGAAACCTGTAGCATAAACAAAAGAAGATATTTTCCTTTATGTATTTACATTGCTACACATGTTATCATAACATTCAATATATCATGTACCCCGTAATCATCATTATCTATCTTCTCATCCTTATCCTCATAGTCCTCCGCCGCTTCCTCATCCTCTAATGCTGCCACTTCCTTGCCACACACTCTCATCTGCTGGTGGAAGGAGTCTAATTCGGCCTTCAGCTTGGCCTCCATGTTGGCCTCCAACTCTGACCTCATCTGAGCGAAACAGACATCTATCTTGGTAGAGAATGCTACAATACTCCCAAAGATCTTCTCATACTGCGCTGTAGAGGTAAGAGTTCCATATGCACTTGTGGAGGGATGAGCGTCGTAATATACTTTAGGGCAAGCAAGGGGGAGGGGAAGGAGGTAGGGGTAAGGGCTGATGTAGTTGTGGGAGCGGGGTTGGGGTTGGTGCCGAAGTAGGGCAGCCTCTTTTGACTTTCTTCTGTGTCAGATAGCGCTGTGCTCCACACCCCCTGAGTGAGGAGGGAGACCGCCCCTGCCTCTAGTCGACATCTGCAACAAAAAGAAGAAAATTTATTAATTAGTGCACATAACAACATACCATGTAATAAACTGAGAACATCACAATAAACAATTATAAACATAAAACATAAAACTTACCCTCAGATAGGTAAACCGACAGTTGAGAAGCAGCTGCCACAAATGCTTCGACCCCATTCAAGAACTCATGAGTGATCCCTTTTCTATTAGAATAAAGTCTATTGTACATTCATGATCTTGATGTACGACTATTCATGTGTACTTTCAAACCTAAAAATAAGCTATGAAGTGCATTCAAGTGAATACACTATATTTACTTATTTTAGCAGATCTACAGGTCAATTGGTAACAAAAGGTGATGAAAATTGACAATAATCAATGCATTTTAAAAAGAGTGAACATTTTAGATAGCTTTGAAATCAGATCGTTTATAGCCTACTGAGGCTGTAAGGGCTGTCTAAGACCGATATTAACGAATATTTAACCGTATTTTCTTCTAATCTTGGCTGTCACTGTAGCTACACCAACCCTTTCACATTTTCTCTACAAGCGTAAAACCACATCCACCTAAGTATTCTTGTTTCAACAACTCTTACCAGATCGCTTTCACATTTATGAACAATTTATGATAAGAAAATATCTCACATGATGTTTTAAGAGACTGCACTTCATCATATAATGAGAAATCCATTTTCTATTCCCAAAATGGAAATACACTTCAAACATTTTTATTCATGACCTTATAGAACATAATGTTTAAGTGAATTTTCATTTTGAGAATTTAAAGTTTATTTCACATTGGATGATGCAGTGAACACTCCAGCTACATCATATGAGATATTTCCTTATCAAAAATTTTTAAACGGTTTGAAGTGATCAAATTAAAAGTTATGGAGGCAGGGATGCTTAGGTTTATGTTTGACTCTTCACTTGGAGACACAATTTGATAGAAATATATCATTGCGAGGGCTAATATAGCTACAACGACTTACAATATTAGAGGGAGTTGTCCTAATGGATTGTTAATTAATGTTCCGCCAATAATGATCTTAGACGAAACTAACATTACTAAAATGTCAAATGATTTGACTTGTAGTAGATTTAATATTGTCTATCACTATAGCTACACCAAAACTTGCACGAGTTTATTTATTTTGCATTTTTATTTTCCAAATAGAAAGCCAATCATTAATCTAAGCATTATCATCTCCACAAACCCCATATGCGATTGACAACACAATTGAAAATATGTTTTTAGAAGAAAATATTTCATATGATGTAAGAGTTTTCACTACATCCTTCAGTGCGAAGTCTAATTTCAATCATCAGAATGAAAATTCATTTTGAAATCTAAGTTATTAGTTCCAAAATGAAAATTCATTTCAAAATCTAATTTGTATTGCTAAAATGAGAATTAGATTTTGATGTGAATTTACAAAATTTCTAAATCCTAGTAAATTAAATCCTAGTTGTTCTTAGACAACAAATTTGTCCTACTTGCTAATCCTTAAACCCTACACACATTTTTTAAAATAACAAAAAATAAAAAAGCAAATAAAGTGTTACCTTCCTTGACTGTTCCGTGTAAGAGAGGAGCGCTAGGGGGAGAAAAATGGGATTTTGTGATCACTGTCAGCCTCAATCCTGTCTGTGCATTCCCAAATAGCTCATATGACGACCGTACCCGAGGCTTTATCAATGAAGGCGTCGTTTTGGACGAAAAAGAGAGGGGGGTGTGGGGATGCGAGGGTTTTGGGGAGAGTAGAGGGATTCAGAGAGACTTCGATATAGAGGAGCTAGGGAGAAGGAATTAGGGTTGGAGGGAGAGGGCCACGCTTTTGACAGCATAAAAGATTATTTTTGATGGCTTATATACAATTTATTGATTCATATTTCTATTACCGACGACACTTGTCGTCGCTTATTATAAAAATGCGTCAATTTATCCCCACCAGATGACTGTTTTGAAGATAACCGATGACATATAGACGTCAGTTAATATTTCAATATTACTAACACTTTTTTGCATTAGTAATAATAAAATCCAATGCAAAAAAAAATTACTGTTGACAACTGACAACAATTCTGTAGTTATGCCGTAACAAACAACTCAAACATAAAACGTCGTTAGACAATTGTTAACTTATACTATTACCGATGGATGAAATAGTTGCTTATTAAAAAAAGCACCCCGTCGAATGACATATTCGTGTTTAACCGACGCAATATGGTTGTCTGTTACTGTTTTCTTTAAAATTGACGGCCTAACACGTCAATAATAATTAAAGATGTCGGAAAAAAATTACAATTTATAAGGGACGACATGTCTTGTTGTTATGCCATCGCAAATTACGCAAATCATAATCTGTCACTACACCGTCAGTAAATGGAACATTTTTTCCGACGAAAAACTTAGGGCGTCGGTTTTCCCGCTTTTTCCTTTAGTGATGTCTATAATACATTGCAATCCATATGTTTGATCTGATAGATTTTTTATGCAAATCGCAAATTACGCAAATCATAATCTGTCACTACACAGTCAGTAAATGGAACATTTTTTCCGATGAAAAACTTAGGCCGTCGGTTTTCCCGCTTTTTCCTTTAGTGATGTCTATAATACATTGCAATCCATATGTTTGATCTGATAGATTTTTTATGCAAATATATATTTTAAACTTTGATTAATCTATCTTTAATTTAATTATGCATGCAAAAAGCCTTATATAATTTATAAAAATTCATTATAAACATTTAACATGCATGTTATTTAGTTAATATTTTTTATATAATTAAAATACTTATAGTATGTTTTAGATTTTTTGTGCATTTCTCCGTAGCATACATTATAAACACGAACTAAAATATTTCTTTAAAATTATACTATACTTAGTTCAAGTTGAAGTAACACTTTGCTCTTTAAACCAAAATTAGACAGAGAAATGAAGAGAAGCACACCTAAACTTTATAATATTTATTTTGAGTTTCTATTTTACACTCAAGGCACAGATTATGGGTGATTTCCTATTAAAAACTAATTGTAGAAACTATAATAAAATTTATTTCAAATAAGGGCTAAAGTTAAGATAAGAAGAGAGGAAGTCTTTTATACAAGACTAGCCTTCTAGTCCCTCCCTTATCTCCCCCTTAGAGCACTTCATCATGAGAAGCTAGTTGACTTGAGATGCCTCATTAGGTCTCTAACACCTTATTGCCTAAAATATATATATATATATATATATATGAAAAAATAGTCATTTTTTAGGCGTATAAACTAAGAGTTAATGCATATAGGTTATATTACAATATCTACATATTATACTTTGCATTCAAGGGCCAAAGTGTTACCAAGCATCCACCATTTAGGATAATATGCTTGGAAATTAATTGCATCCAAGGCTTAAACTTAGATTATATCCATTGTCTTTGTTAGTATTGCCTCTAGCCTATAAGCCTCCTATAAAAACTCCTTTTTCCATATGAGGAAACATTTTTTAAAATCTAATTTTGGACCTATTTTTATTTATTTGAGATTTACCTTTAACAAGTGAAAGGAGGGATTCTTCTAGCTTATTTATCTTTTTCTCATATTTTTGCTTTTATATTAGGACAACATGATCGAATATGATAGACTTCCTTTATAAAGTATATATTTAACTCTCATTGTGGACTTTCTCCTCTCATTGCACCATAAGTGTAGGCTACAATTTCAAACCACCAAAAAAAAAAAAAAAGATAGACTTTTATGTCGCCTACTTCCACTATCTCTTTTTATGTTTTCAACTCTTTATACGAATGCTTTCATTGTTCTGTTTGAGGCCAACCGGTGTTTTCCTTAAGAACCATCTACCATCTCAACTCAAATATATCAATTATTTTATCATCATAAATAACTTTTTTTTGTTTGAGCCTAAACATACTTTGAGTTACAGACTTGCCACTATCTCCTCTCTCACCAATAACTGCTAGCTCCTCTCCCTCACATGTTGTATGGACCTTTTTGAATTACAAGTTATTTGTTATTATTCAAGCCTCTTAATCTTACCATCTTTTTTATGTTTATTATAAGGAAATATCAAGCTTTAATACTTATGGTATTATGATAACTCGAATGTATTGTTAGTATTGCCCTTCAAATGACAACCACTTTTAAATCACTCACATACATTTGGACTAGCTCAAATACGGGCGAGCCATTTGATCAGGAAGCATTTTTTTTTGGTATTTTGATCATAAGAGGGCACAATCTGCAGTGTTTATTATTTATATATAAGACATATTTCAAATAAGAGTTAAATTGCCTTACATAAATTTTAAATAACATTTAGATCATCTACAGATACTTTCAAAGCTTTAATACCATTTTAATTCTATAAGAACATCTATGAACATTTACATATCAAGACTTGTGTATAATCTTCAACCACACCTTAATTGTTATTCATAAGGCCCATTCCACAACTTCATATACATCACAATCATCACCACACCAACACTTACATCATAACATTTATTTATATCACAACTATCTCATCATATCAATAATTACACCAAAACATTTTGCTTGGGTCACCTTTAGGACAACACCAACCCTTGTGTTGCAATGAGGTTTTTATTGGAGTCATAGTTTATATGATCTTTATCTTTACTTTTATTTATGTCCCAACTATCTCTTGCAAGATCTATATTGTGAATGTCTATAATGAGTCTTGCACAATATGATTTATGTTTTTGTATTTATATAATTATTTTTTTATTATAAAATTAATACTATTCAATGATTTTTATTGTATAAAAGAACATGCCTTTTATACCAACTTAAATCAATATATCTTTTTTTTACCCCTCCTAGAAATGAATCAAAATTTAATTATATTTATCTAAACTAAGTTTTAATTAAAATATAGAGCTTGTTGGCCCAATATTTTTGGGGGCATTTACATACATAACACACAATTCTTATGTATTTACATATCTCACACCTTAGCATTCATATTTTGATGAATCACATAGGAAATAGGACTATTTTCACATTTTAATAGTAAAATGCACTTTCTCACACATAGCTTTAAAGCACAAGAATGTCTATATTTGTAAATATGAAAATTTAGGTATGAGATATATAAAAATATCATATGTAAATTTTTTCTTTTTTTCGTTTAAAATTATTAGATTTAAATGATAAAAGCATAAAATCCCTTCTTAAAAAAAATCAAGGTAAATGAGAAAAGAACTAAGGGGCATTTACATACATACCACCCAAATCTAATGTATTTACATATCTAACTACTAAACTTTAGTTCTCACATTTCTACCACCCAAATTTTTTAAATCACATAAAAAATATCATAGATTTAATCAAGAAATACAACACTCCTTTTAAAGGAGAGACAAAGTGTTACATATATATATA